CCTCACGCACACAAAAACACACTCACGCACACACGCACTCACGCACGCACGCACTCACACACACACTCACGCACACACACTCACTCACACGACACGATTGGCTCCGATATAAAGCTGAGTGAACTGGGTGAGGGATCGATCAGATTGACTCGCAGTGATCTGGAATGGAAGAGCTGATCAATACTCAGTCAGACGCTGTTGGTAGACTGGCATTCAAATACATGGTAAGATGTCCATTTCTAGTGTTTCTGAGTGATGTGTCTGTTGTGTGTGCGTGTGTTTAAAGCAGTCTGTGGTTTCTGTCAGGAGATGTGTAAAGTAGACTCCAGCTCAGACTCTGAATCAGAGTCCAACCCCAGATGGTCTGATGTCAGCAGCAAGGTATTTCTGTCCAAAATCAACCTCAAACATGAGCTAAACACAACACATCTGACTTGAACTGCATGATCTCGCGTCAGGGCTGTGAAAGCAGCACTCCAGAAGCTCCTCAGAAACTCCAGCAAAACTACCAGCAGGTAAACACAAAGCACTGATTCGCTTCTTTAGTCACAAACAAACCTGGTGTGTAAGTGATTATGATGATGATGATGATGATGATGATAATCACTGAAATGAATGGTTTGTGTTTCTGAACTGATTGTTGTGTCCAGTGTCTGGATCCCTACGATGGAAGCTCAGAAGACTCTGGCTCTTCTGCTGAAGGCTCAAGGAAGCAAAGGCCCGGCGGGTTTCGCACGAAAGGGACTGGCCGTAGATTGACCTTTAACCCTGCATCTGCTCTCCGAGACGAGACGCCAGCAGATCTTCACCGTGTGGATGTTCAGATGAGGTCCTCCAGCGACTCGGAGCTAGAGTCTCCACACCAGGGCTCCGACTCCGGCTTCCACACCAGATCCTCGCTGAACTCTCGAGACACGAGCCTCGGGCTCCAGAGCGCGTCTCCAGACAGCCCTGCTCTCCACGCAGCCTTCTCCAAGAGGAAGCTCTTCCCTGCATCAGACGACGGGATGCTGAGCAAGCGGCGGTGCGTCAGTGACGTGGAGCTGGAGAGCGGGGCTGTCTGAGGTCAGGATCAGACCACAGCAGAGTCTCCGAACCCTGTGCTGCTTGTGAAGGAAAATAGAGACACTCTAACGACAGAAAGAGGTTTGACGTGCAGGTGTTGAAATATGTACGAGATGATGGACAGGTTCAACTCTGATGTCACACAGCTATTTCAGTAATAAATTAAGACTAATAAAGCTAACCTTAATTCATGATTTCATGTTTCATCTCCGGCTGTTCACGATGAGTTTGCCTTTACACTCAGTGAGCAAACATGTATGTAGTGCAGCTGTCTGCAGACGGACGGTGACAAGAATAATATATATATCTGTCAGAAAGCTGATGTCATGATGAATTAATGTCTGGAGAAACAGGCCAGTTTCACTGGGTTTCTTTAGGGCAATGGAGAGATTTATTATTTGCATCCAAAGAAAGGAGAACATCGGAAGAACGCCTACTCCATGATGTTAATGTTTGTAGGCCTTTGTGTGTTTTTCATTTGAATGCTTGTTTCATCAGCTTCAGTCTGAATAGAGGAAAAACTGAGAGTTCAGTGTCAGTTTGTTTCAGTTCTTCCCTTAATTAATTGCACACAGCTTGTCATGTGTATTCATCACAGGATGAAAATAAAGTATGCACTTCTTTGTCTGCATTTCTCTGTATTGTGCGGATGTCAAAGCTTCCTCTGAGCCTGTAATCACCATCAGTAAAGACGTCAGGACCTGGGGCCTCTTCCATAAAACAAGTTTACCAAATAATCCAGGCTTATTTCAGTTAGTCAGACTTATTTTGAACCAAATCAACTAACAATAAGTGAAATAAACCTGTCTTATTTGGTAAACTTGTTTTATGAAACAGGCCCCAGGACCCATAAAGTGATTGTATATATTTTGTCATTATGAAAGCCCAAAAAAAAAAAAAAAAAAAAAGTTGTATTTTTAAGTGAAATAAACATTGTACAAGATGTTATTTGGAAAATGTGTTTGTCACTCTCACACTCTGAACTGTTTGTTCAGTTAGTCTGACTTATTTTGAACCAAATCAACTGACAATAAATCAGACTAACTGAAATAAGCCTGGATTATTTGGTAAACTTGTTTTATGGACACACCCTAACACACACACACACACACACACACACACACACACAATTTCTATTTCAATTTAAGTGTGCTTTATTGGCATGACAAACTATATATTTGTATCTCGGCCAAATATTGTCCTATCCTAACGAACCACACATCAATGGAAAACTTATTTATTCAGATGATGTATAAAAATGGACACTTATGACTGGTTTGTGGTCCAGGATCACATCTGACGTGTACGTTAAAGGATCATACAGGCTCAAATGAATTAAGCACACTCGAGTAACGTTTCATCTAAATTAGCTTTATTGGAAACCACCAATCATGCAAAACTTGAATCAACTTCCATTTTTCCATCTAAAACGCACACAATCCCATCTGTTCTAAAACATCTGCCTCAGAAACCCCAACACAACGTGCGTCTGACTCTCTAAACCCTTCCCAGTTAAACACACGACATGCAAAGCTATGGTTTAGCTCACTACACTAACAGGAATGACTAGTAAAGATAAGTGGCTGGTTAAGCAGCATCTAGTCGGTGCAGAGGACGGCGACTCCGCGCTCGTAGAAGTGATGCGGGTCTTCTTTGGTGGCGATGTCGAAGTCGACGGTGAAGATGAGGTCTGAGCGTGTGAAGTTCAGATACACGGGCAGCGTGACCTGCAGAGAACACAGAGAAAGACAGGCTTTAATTCACTGATTAAACTGCAAATGATGGTCTAATTGCTTATGCCAATAGGTTTAATTTGAACAAATTATCTGTACATATAAAAAAAAAATCAAGTGTTATTATTTTTAGTGGTAAAAAATTACACGCAAGGATTTGAGGTGCCTCAAGAGCAAACTACTAAATTCTTGGGAGTTTTTATTGATGAGACTGAGTTGATTATGCGAGTAGAAAAATACATAAATCTACTGGAATAATAAGGAGGTTTAGGCATGTTGTTACTAGTGTCTTCTTGCGCTTTATTATAGCTCAATTTATCCATATCTTTCATATTGTAATATAGTTTGGGCAAGTACTTTTCCTGTTTATCCTTCAGAAGCGTTTTGTTAAGAGTGCAAGCCGATCAAACATATATACTTCATCTGCTGCTTTATTTCATAAACTTCAGGTTCTTACTATTTAAGATATTAATGTGTTCAAATATGTGATTTTATGTATAAGATATATTCAAGTGAGGGTAACATTCCAGAGCAATTTACAATGCATTTTAAATTCAATTCACCGGTTCACCGTTATTTAACTTGTCAATTTTCAAATATTCATCTTCCTAAATCTCTCACTTGTAGAGGTCAATGCTTGATGAGATTTAGGGGTAATGAATTATTGAATGGTTTGTCACATCTAGCAAAAAAAATGTTCCTCTTTAATAAATTATAAAATATGTATAAAGGCATCACTTTAATGCTGTTTTGTAATAGTGTATTTTTTTTTTCTTAAAATGTATTTTATGCACTATATTGGTTTGTTTTTGGAGTACATCATTTCTGGGGGTTTTGACATTTGTGACCCTGGAGCACAAAACCAGTCATAAGGGTCAATTTTGTGAAATTGAGATGTATGCATCATCTGAAAGCTGGATAAATCATCTTTCCATTGATGTATGGTTTGTTAGGATAGGACAATATTTGGCTGAGATACAACTATTTGAAAATCTGGAATCTGAGGGTGCAAAAAAATCAAAATATTGAGAAAATCATCTTTAAAGTTGTTCAAATGAAGTTCTTAGCAATGCATACTACTAATCAAAAATTAAGTTTTGATATATTTACGGTAGGAAATTTACTAAATATCTTCATGGAACATAATCTTTACTTAATATCCTAATGATTTTTGGCATAAAAGAAAAATGAATAATTTTGACCCATACAATGTATTGTTGGCTATTGCTACAAATATACCCCAGCGACTTATGACTGCTTTTGTGCTGCAGGGACACAGATGTTGTAATTAATTTGTAGTTTATATTTATATTTATATATTTGTTATTGTAATTTCACTCTTTCGTTGATTTCATGAGTTGTTGTTTTCTTTATCGTTTAGGAGGAGGCTCTAAATAAGCGGCGTCTCTCTGCACAGTAAATGGATTGTACTTTTGTATTTATTTTATTCTTGTGCAAAATAAATAAAGCAAACTAAGGCCAGCGACAGACCATGCTCCTCTTCTCGGTGTTGCTCTGCTTCATCCAGTGCAGCTGCGTCAGCGGCAGTTCAGTGGAGATGCTGGTGGACAGAGAGAGCTTGTTGTTGGCGCAGGTGGCCCCCTGCAGCTTCAGACCTGCGCACAGACAGACAGACAGAATGCTCTGAGACCCAGCAGACACTGACATGCTCCTCATCTCTCTCTCGGGCCGCTCTCACCTCTGATGCCGAAGCTGCAGGCGTCCAGCGCCGCTCCCTGCGCAGACGTCACGTTCACCTCCAGACACAGCTCCTCCAGAGACCAGCTGTTGACCTGAGCCACATACTGACGCGTGGCTGTGATGTAGGCCTCCGGCACGAACAGACCGCCCAGGTTCACATGGATGTTCTGCAGGAGAACAACAGCCCGTTCAACACTTGAAACCACGAGTCTCCTGAGTTTGAGCCGCTCTAGCCGAGTCAGCTTTATACAATCCAGATCAGTCAGAGCAGATTCGCCGTGATAAACAGGAAAATAATGATGGAAACTCAACTGTTTTACTTCAGATTCTGCTGTAAAGCAGCTCTAAAAGACAACAGTGTCATTATTCAGATCAAGCCAGTTCAGTTCAGAGAGGGCTGCATGATAAATCATGTTTTAATCGTGACTGCTTCTTTTGATTTATTAACTCTTTC